GTCTGATGTTACCTATGAACTCTATTAAGCTGACTTCTATAACAAGAAAGTTTAAATAAATTATAAAGATTAGATTACTGAACAATTGCAAGATATCAAAGAAATAATATACAATAAAAATTTATACCTTTAAAATAATGCTATAGTTGTCCAAACAATGAGATATCAACTAAATAGAAAGAAAGTAAAATAGCAAAAATATGATTCTGTAGGAAAAAATGTGTAAATAAACTTTAAGGCAGGAAAGTATAAGTCAAAATATTAAGGAAATATTCCAATTGTACTTTAAAACTAATGAACTCTGAGATATTGAACTATTTGTTATACCTAGATAGTGGTTTTTAATGTCAGTGTATTTCCAGGCACATTAGCACAATGTGATGCAAGACCAAAGAAATCAAAGTCCACCAAGTCCTTTGGTAGAATCCAGAAAAATCACTAAAAACAAAATTAAAAGCATGACCCACAGACTGTATTTGTAAAACCCATATCTGATAAAGAACATCTACCCAAAATATACAAAGAATCCTTAAATCTCAACAATAAGAATACAAACAACCCAATTTAAAAATGGGCAAAAGTTCTGAAAATATACTTAATCAAAAAAATATACTGATAGCAAATAAGCAATGAAAATATAGTCATCATTCATCAGAAAACAGAAAATTAAAATAACAATAAGATACCAGTAGAAACCTATTAAAATAGCTAAAACCCAAGAAATTGAAAGTCCAAATGCTGGTGAGGATGTAGATCAACAGGAAGTCTCCTTCATTGCTGGTGGGAATATAAAATGGTATAGCTATTTTGGAAGACAGATTGCCAGTTTCTTACAAATGAGAGCATTGTCTTAAATTATGATCTAGCAATCACCCTCCTAGATATTTACCCAATTGATTTGAAAACTTAAGTCCACACAAAAAAAGCTGCACACAAATGTTTACAGAAGCTTTAATCATAATCACCAAAAACTGTAAGCAACCAAGATGTCCTTCAATATGTAAATAAACTGTGGTAAATCCATACGATGGAATATTACTGAGTGATAAGAAAAACTGAGAATGAGCTATCAAGCCATGAAAAGATATGGAGGAACCTTAAATGGATATGGCTAAGCATATGAAGCCAATCTTAAAAGACTACATCCTGTATGATTGCAACTATATGACAGAGTGTACTACAATGTATACTAATTAAAAATATGATTTAAGAGGTCAGGAATCCCAGAAAAGAATATAGACTGTGACAAGAAAATCTCAATGTATTACAAATGTAGGAAACAACCTCACCAGAGGTGTTCAAGGTGCAATGCAGATTTAAGTAACTTTGGAAATAAGTGAAGTCTATAAATATAAAGGGAAAAGTAGCTGCACATAGACACTGCACACTAGTTAGTAAAGTTGTAACCGAGAGGATATGAGTTAACAATTCTAATATTGCTATTCATGTATATTAGAATTGAACAATTAATTAAATGGTTGGTAGATGGTGAGAATCAAGTTTCATTCTTCCTGTTACAGATAGGACAAGAAAGGAGGCTAGAATGACTTGTGTTGAACACATATATAAGAACTCATGTTTGTTTAATATTGACAATTTGAGCAACAATATTGAGTGGTATTGGATTATAACACAAAGTATAAAATAAATATTCACGAGTCCATACTGATATAAAAGATTGAATAATTTAATAAATAGAGGAGAGGAGACAAATATCTGATGCAAAAGAATTCCAATCAATTTATGTAGATACTCTAACCTTAAGGAGAGAGATCAAAACTCTCCATTCTTTAAAGTGTGGGCTATACATGGTGACTTCCTTCCAAAGAGTACAGTATGGCAAGGAGGAGGTAGGAAGTAACTTCATAGTGTAGAAATTTCATGATCATTTCCCCAGCCAGATATTCAGGGTCAATATCAACAGTCATAAATCATGTTGGTAATATATACCCTTGTTATGATGTGATTAAAATATCACTTTACCTCTGTGATCTTCTTCCCCCAAATTCATAACCCTAGTTTAATTATAAGGAAAACAGACAAATTCCAATAAAGGGGCACCCTGTAAAATACCAGACCAGTATTTCTCAAAACTGTCAAGATCATCATACAAGGAAAGTCTGAGAAACTATCACAGCTAAGGGGAGCTAAGGAGAAATCACAGCTAAAAGTAGTATGGTATTCGGGATGGGATTCTGGAACAGAAAAGAGACTAGGGAAAAACAGGAAATTTGATGCAAGTATGGGCTTCACTTAATAATAATGTATCAATATTGGTATATTAATGGTAACAAATGCACCATACTAATATAAGATGTTAAAAATAGGAAAACTGAGTTTGAGATACAAGAGAAGTCTCTGTACTCTTTTCTCAAGATTTTTTTGTAAATCTGAAACCATTCTAAATAATTGAAACTTTTTTAAAGAGAATATTTCTACCAGAAAACCAGGACTATGTGCTTATCAAGCAGTTCCTCACAGGCAATCCCCTGCAGGACTATAGGGGAAGAGATCCCTGGATGGTGTTTATCAACTTGTGTTTTCCAATGTTAGCAATTTGGGTTGCTCAAAAAGAAAAAAGAGACACTTAAATATCAGATTTGGTACATGCTTTCATCCCTATATGAAATCTGCTATCACTCACAATAGGATTTTTCTGTAAAAATTTGAATATTGTATTGCTCTTGTAATGCATGTACTTTATTTGCTTTTTGTTTGTTTTCCTGTTTTTTTCTTTAAATTATATACCTGCCTTTTTTCTTTCTGATGTGTGTGTATTTTGCTACATTGTGCTCATCTATTTTTTAAATTGACTGTATCATACAAAGTTCTGGATCAGCAAATAATTAACTATGGCTTGCTGTAGAATATAGTCATAGTTTTATCTGTCCAACACTCCACCCTTCTTCTAGAAGCAACAACCCCCTCCTTGTCAGAGCTACACCAGTCCACTCCACCATCAAAACCATACTTCCATTAAGATTTGTAATACTATTTTCTTAATCCTGACTTCTGACCAGTGTAGGGTCCACCAAATCCATGAGGATCTCCTGTAGCTCCCAACTCAAATGGATTAGTCCCAAAGGTGGCACTTGTTCCAAGGTGAACCTATCAGTGTTAGTCTCCAAGCTGTTTGAACCTGCTTCATAAAGAGAAGTAGTCATGTTTTTTTGATGGAAGAATTCTTAAGGTTTAGAACCCAGGGCCAGTGACCAGGCATCCTGCTTGAGTGGAGAAAATTGGGCTGCATTAAGAGAAAATCAAGCTTGTCTAAGGAGTGTAACAGCAAAGAGAGGTACCTGGTGGTGGCCAGTTCCCTGGCTCTAGTTGTCTCTGAGATCCAACACAAACCTGTCCTTCTATTCCTAGATTGCTTCACATTTTCTAGAATAAATGAACCCATGATCTAAATATTTGTGAGCTGGCTTCTGATCCTTACAACTAAGGAATGTTCTAAACTACTATTTGGATAACACTGTAAGCCACCATTTTTAAAGAAAGGAGCTTGCTGGAATTAGAACCCTAATTCTCAAGTTCCTCAGCAGCACCCAACCTCAGCCTGCTCCCTAAGCCACGTGATACAAATAAACGTGCTTCGTTTTACACTCAAAGTAGAACAGGATTTTACACCTTAAGTAATCAAATGGAAACAGGAGAGTGTTGGAAAAATATGTATTCAAAAGTAAGATAAAGAATAAAAGTTGAGTCTTCAAAGTTATCTTATCATGTACATATGCATACACAGATATTTGTGAATTCAAACAGTTTATGGTATGATTTACAAGGTATATAACACTTCTACTGACCAAAAATCAAATGAGTTAACATTTCCAAAGTGTGAGAAAATAGATTATATGTTTCACTAGTGATTTTAGTGAAATTTTAAGAAAAATTATATTTATTACTTTATTATTTATTATAAGGCTATCCACACCTTAATGGTCTATGTTGAAGCTGTGAGCCACTACAGACAAAACCAGAGAATTCTAGATTGTTTTTGATAGAGTATCTGTCCCTGCATTTGTGACTGTTTACTGATAAGATCTCCCTTTCCTTCCTGACTTGAGTGACATTAGTGGCTGAGAACATGAGCACGTGTTCCCTTTTTTCTCTTCCTGTGCTACATGCACATTACACATTTCCTTCCATCTTTAAATACAAAGGAAAAAATCTTTTTAAAAAAATGTATTTAGAGGTGTTTTTCTTTATTTTTTGCTATGAACCTTTAAATCATCCTGAAGCAGGAAGTGTCTCACTCTGCTGCTGAAAGCTGTTTCCCTTAGAGTGTAAAAGTGTCAGTTTTTCACAAAGCCACTTTACTGTGAAACTCGTTTGAATCAGATAGCTCACTTAATTGAGGGAGGATGAACTGGGGAATAGGAGTGGCTGGAATGTTAGACATTTCTTTTGTCTGCAGTTCTGGCTCTCTGCTATCTCATAGAAAACCTGGCTAAGAAATTGATTATAAAAATGAACATATTTTTTTTAAAAAGTTGAAAATTGTAAATATGTATTTCCTTTTTAATACAAAGAGCAGAGCAGAGGAAAAGAGAAATCAGAAATTGAAAGTTGTATTAAAGAAATCATAGCAAAATACAAAAAATATAATTAGCTCTGTCTAAAAAAGAAGAATAGTTATAAGAAAGATGTAGAAAGTAGAATTGCACATGAAAATGGATCTTAATACATAGTTAGCCATAGTGATCATCGTTATCAATGTCACTCAATTATTGCCCTTTTACTTACATTTTCAAAGTTAGAATATGACCTGTATACTTGAATATTATTGAATATATGCACTGAGTGCATTTGTCCATAATTTTGAAAACTACATACATATTTTACATATTACTCATGGATTGTGTGGAGAGAGATGTGTGTAAACCTACGTTAAATGTCATAGAAATTTGCATTTGTAAGGATGCATGATTTCTACTAGTCTGTAGTCAAGTACACATTAACACTTTATTTATTAGATGTGTATGGATTCTATATTTCAGAAGTGATTTATACAATGAAGAAAGAACATGTTCTTTGGGCTTCTCTGCTGCTTAGTCTTGCCCCTGCCCCTCTTAAAGCTGATCCTGAGGAAGGTGAAGAACATACAAATATCACAGGTAAAATGTTACATGCATTTATTTTTTTAAGCTAGTCAAAGCTCTCAGTTTTAATCCAAACACTAGCATATTTTTCCTTTGTGTAGAAAAATTAGTTTTTATTGAAGTGAATTTTTTCTTTGGAAACTTCTTATACCTGGTGTGTCTTTTTTTTTCTACTTTTTAAAAACTTAGTCCAAAAATAAGATCACTTTAGCTGAAAGACTTCCCTTTCTTCAGGCTACAAACACTGGCATAACCCTGGGATATTGCAAGGAGCAAAATAGTGTGGGAACAACTCTCTAGGGCACTTGATGCCACCCTGGGGTGGGGAAAGTGTGAAGAGAGGGAACTACAGACCTCTAAGGCATCAGGGATTCTCTCATTCTTGCCTATATTTCCAAAGTAAGAATTTTTGAGTTCAGTGTAAGAATCTAGTCAAGCAGGACAGCAAAGGACCTGGTAATACAAGTTATCCCATAAAGCTCTGCATCAAAAAAATAAAAACATTGACGATAAAAAATAGAACAAGAGAAGACTATACAGTGATTGTGTATATCTTTCTTAAAAGTAACATTTTGTGGCAAATTAGCAAATTATTGATAGCAATCTCAAGTCATCGGAAATAGGGATAGGATATTAACAACATAATACCTTCTTTTTGTATAGCAGTTTATGATGTGCAAAAGATTTCTATAAACACCTTCTTATTTCATATCTCTAATAAATCTTTAAAGTGATTGTGTTCAGTGTACTTCATCATAATAAAGATTGAATAAAACATCTTCTGTGCCTGAAAGTGTGGAAGGTGCTAGGGAAACAACAATGGCTGAGACCAGGTTCTCAAGAATCTCACAATTTCATAGGGAGACTGAAGAGTGGAAGGTTACTTCAGTATAGTGTAGTAAATGCAGAGAAGGAAGCATGCATAGGTACTGCCATCCATGCAAAGAGGAAGGAGACTCATCTAAGCATGTCGACCTGAGAGCTTGGCAAGGGGAAGTGATGTTACAAAAATTTCCTGGAGATGGAAAATTATTTAATACAGTAATACTATAATGTGCCTTTTGCAAATTGGAATTTGATCATTATGAGATGAGTTTCTTCATTCAGCTCTTTTCTCAAAAGGGATTGGGTTAAAGTTCTAATATTCTAGGGTTTATGGAAACAAAGGATGTAGAAGATAAAGTCAGTCCCAGCAGGGAAGAGGCAGGCAGCCTCAGTTTTGGGAAGTGGGAGGAGAATGGGTCCAAATGTTCCTGGTATTCTCCCATTCCAGTCTCCCTCAATCAGACTGAGAAGACCCATTAGTCAGGAGGTTCCTGAAATTGTTGCTGCCACAGCTGACCATAAACCAGAGTTAACTCATCAATAATGAAGTGATAATTTAAAATCACTCTAAGGTAGCTTCCAAACCTAGATGGGTAACAAGGAATTTTGATCTTTAAGTTAGATTTGAAGTCCTCTTGGCTGACTAGCTGCACGGTCTTACCTAGTTTTGTTTTTGCTTTGTTTTTAATACATTTTGCAATAACATGATCTCACATCCAAATAAACTCTGTTTTGGAGATATAATTTATCACATGATGCCAAGATCATACCAACATCCATTTCAACTGAAATAGGGTACTGTTATTTATAGAAAAATATGTACAGTTTTATTGCTTCTCTCACAAGTCAATAGTAGACTTTTCAAAAATCAATCCACCAGAAAAGAGGATGATATAGAATTAACTTCTTGATAAGACCACAGAAATAATAAAAACAGCTTTAGAAAAATACTTTTGGGCTGGGAGAGAGAAGATTAGCAGGGAACATTTAGAGAAAGGCAGATATATTTTATAGTATTCAGAATCAAACAGTCTTGAGTCTGTAGTTGTGGTTTGTCATCTAGTACCTTTGTGAAATTAATTGAGTTATTTAAACTCTCTGACTTCCAAGGTTCTAAGCCGTAAATAAATGATGTAAGTAACTAATTCCATATGGCTGTTATATAAACCACATAAAAAAACATCTGGCACATTTTATGATGCAGAGAAGGCCAACAGTACTTGTCTGTGTTCTTCACTACTGGAGAAATTGAATCCTTTAGTCAGAGAGACAAGCAGCACATGGACTCTTAGCAAGTTACCCAAAAGCCCTAGATTCACAAACAAGTTCCAGGAGAAGGAGAATTCTAGCAGTCAAGGGCATGGCATATTCTCAGGTATGAAATATTATAGTGAGCCTTCTATCCAACATCCCAGGACACAGGGAAAGGGAAAGTAAGAATGTAACCCTCAAACTATGAGATATAAAATACATTTCATCAATTAAAAAATGATTAAATAAGCCATAATCCTATTTTTATGGCTTCATCAGATTAAATACCTATTAGATCACCCTGTGTTTTCCAGTTTCTTGGCAAGAGGCAGATAATCCTTGTCTCTGTCAGCATTTTTGTCAAGTCTCAATTTCAAGTCTCAGGAAGTTTATCCATGACCTCTTGAGGCTAGCTTAGCTATCCTATTATATGCTCACACAGCACCCAGAAATTCCTAATTATTTATGTAAGTCAGTCTCTAATGTCTGTATGTCCCATGAAGGAGGAACTGCTTGTTGCCCCCTAATTTACTGTCATATCTGCAGTGACAGCACAGTGCCTGACACATGCTCAGTACACATTTATTAACATTCATAAAGGTTTATTCAAAGTAAGAAATGAAAACCAGGGCAGACTTCTATCCCTTTTGAGTGGAGCATCAGGGAACTGTGGATCAGACAGCACACCTGGCCACTGCCCAATTCCAGGGATGCTGTGTTCAGATGTGGGGCACAAGCTCACAGCACAAAAGAATAATCTAATATAGGATTCCTCTGGGAAATACATTAAAATATGAATGATAAAGGTGAATAAGCTAATAATAAAATATAGTTAATAAAAGTTAATACTTAAGTGTTTTCTCTTTAGCAAATTGCTATAAAATTATCATTTGCCTCCACCATGAAGCCATTTTTAGTTTTACAAAGTGAATTTTAGAAAGAAATGTTATTAACTGAGCAGAACTTTTTATAACTGAATCTGTGTGCTTGATGCAGATGTCAGTTTTGGAATCTTAATCATGGATCTGTAACAATATCACTCAGTTATAAAGAAAGTTTGAGATATCTGGTGTAAAAACAAATGGGATCGATTCAAAACCCATCATTTATGGTGTGAATTTGAGCCATTTATTTAATTTCTGAAATGCTAGTTTATGATTTATAAAATGGAGAAAAAAATGCATAACTCAGAAGGTTAGGTTGTTATGATCATTAAGTGATACAATTACAAAATGTCCAGAGCATAGTTATTACTCAGTAAACATTAGGTGTTGTCATTGCTAGTAGGCGTGACTGCTCAACTCGCAGTTTACTATCTTTTGTTTTGTGGTGCACTACCACCACCTGGTGGCACCATTACTTAATAGCAGATTGAGTTTGGGGTGAGAATATCCTTAATACAGAAAATGGAAAAAATTTAGCTTGACGATAAGGAGTACAAAAAATAATAAGAGGCCGAGCTCAATGGCTCACACCTGTAAGCCCAGCACTCCGAGAGGCCGAGGCAGGAGGATATCTTTAGGCTAGGAGTTCGAGACCTGCGAGGGCAACATAGTGAGACCCTGCGGCTATAAAAAATGTAAAAATATCCAGCTGTGGTGGTGTGCACCTGTAGTCCCAGCTACTCAGGAGGCTGAGGCAGGAGAATCGCTTGCCCAGAAGCTGGAGGTTGCAGTGAGCTATGATCACACTACGACACTCCAGCCTGGGCGACAGAGTGAGATCCCATCTCTCTACAAAGGAAAAAAAAAATTAAGAGTAAAAAGAGGAATCATTAATGAAAAAAAAATCTGATATAAATTATTGATTTATAAGAAATGTTTTTGCTAAATATATATGGCAATTCAGGTTAAGATAAAGTTTCTTGTATTTTACATGTAAAGCTCTGTATATTTATATTAAAGATGTCTGTCTGAAACACTGCTTCCTTAATTTGTTGTCTCTAAAGTTCTAAAGTAACATTAACTTGGAAATGAGGACCGTGATACTATATGAGAAGTACTACAGGAATTTCTGAGATAATGGTATACAGCTTTAAGATCCCTATAAGATTCAAAATGCCAGAATATATTTATTCCTGGTTCATTCCTTGAAATTATGTATGTGAGTTCTGATATATGATTCTGAGATCATATATTTATAGAACTGATAGATCAAAATTTTATCAGTACCAAAATATGTGTCTATAGTGTAGATACAGTGATAATTCAAAGATATTATTGTGGGCTTGCTCTAAGTCAGATGCTCCACTTAATGTCTTCATGCAAAACGTTCTGACTTGTCACAATTTAACAACTCAAAATGTCAGTTATGGCATTATAAAATCCTTAAGTAAATGCAGAGAATATAAACGCATTTACAATTATTTGTAAATGCATTATTCAGAAAAAGCTTTCAGTGATTTTTGAATTCAAATTGACAATTATAATTTCAGTGATGAAGAGAGAAAACATGGTTTTTATACGTCATGGCTGTTTATATACAGATATTTTTCTATGGAAAATATGTTTGCAACCCTCTCAAGTATGATTATATTTATCTCAAGTATGATTATATTTATGTTATGACTTTCTCTTTAAAAAGTACTTGTGCATGGCAGTTAAGAAAAGTAGAGAATTTCAATGAAGACTAAAAATATTTAAGAAAAATTATCATTCTAAATTTTTACCATGCAATATTCATATTTGTAGGTACCTGAAACTCTTGATGTATCTGAGAGACTCTTTAAAGCCAATTATCATATTTCAGATAAGTTCAACATAAAATTTTAAGGAATTAGAAAGGAAAAGAAATGCCAGTTAAACTTGTACATGTTCATCAGTAATTATTAACTCATTTTGATAAAGTTATAAACATATATACTATAGATATTTATTGGATTTAGGGGCATTGTTTATTTGGTTTAAAATTATAAAAAATACCATATTGATAAAAAGAAACTTTATATTTTGTTAATGGAACATAACCTCAGAGAAAGTTGAAACATACAATTGCTCAGGTGTATAAAACTCAATTTTACTTAAAGGTTTAGCCAGAATTATTACTTTCCAATTAGCTAGTTCATTACAACTGTGTTTAGTGCTGAAGGTATCCGTCTATCATAATTATTCCCCGTCATATGTTATTCTACGTTATCAAATTTTGGGTCTGAAAAACTTACTGTTCTATCAGTTCTGTCTGTCTGCTCAATTTATTTCAATTTAAAAAAATAGTTAAGTCAGTTATCAAGTAAATCAAATAGTGAAATGGTATTTTATAAATTCACCTCAAATTTTTTAAAATTTGTGTTAGTAGCTGAGATAAAATTCATATGTTCATAAATAATCAGTGTCATATGAGTCAAACAGCATAAAAATTTCAACTTATGTATAGAAAGCTATATTTTTAACTTTTCCAAGATTACAAGGACTACCTATCATTTTATGACTCACATAAAAATTAGCAGTAACATTCCAATAGCTTTGTTAGAGCGTTTTAACATTATTGAAATATAGCTATACTTGATATTATTAATGATTCAAAATATATAATTAGAATAATAATAGGTTAAGGGTGGAAGAGACTTGATAAAATTATCTGATCCTACTTTTATTATTTGCATATTTTGTCTTTTAGAAAACATTCACATAATTTTTGAAGTTACAGGACATTTAAACTGGATTTCCTTTCAGATGATCATACATCCACAAACTTTTCCTTAATTTCATGCTTTAAAAATATTTTATGTGCGGCCGGGCGCGGTGGCTCAAGCCTGTAATCCTAGCACTCTGGGAGGCTGAGGCGGGCGTGCTCGAGGTCAGGAGTTCGAAACCAGCCTGAGCAAGAGCGAGATCCCATCTCTACTAAAAATAGAAAGAAATTAATTGACCAACTAAAAAAATATATAGATACAAAAAATTAGCCGGGCATGGTGGCGCATGCCTGTAGTCCCAGCCACTCAGGAGGCTGAGGCAGGAGGATGGCTTGAGCCTGGGAATTTGAGGTTGCTGTGAGCTAGTCTGATGCCACAGCACTCACTCTAGCCTGGGCAACAAAGTGAGACTCTGTCTCTAAAAAAAATAATAAAAAAATAAAATAAAAATATTTTATGTGATTTTTTTTTTTGAGACAGAGTCTCATTCTGTCCCTTCTCAAGATAGGAAATATTTCCATTATTAAAATTAATGACTAAATGTTTAGAGAAAAAAAATTTAACTCAAGGTCAAAAGAATTGCCTCATTCTATTTAAAATATAAAAAGCATTGTTTAAGTTTTTTCAGCATTATTAAAAACCAATCACAGTAAGTAAAAGAATGCCCCATGGAGTGTATTCTTTATGTAACATCAAACAAGTTAATTTTCATAATTAGGGAATGGTTCAATATAGTATGATACATATAAAACACATGTATATTATATATATATGTATATATATATAAATGTGAATATACTGTTGTTTTTAAAGAGTTGTTTTATGTGTGAAAAGTGACACAGCTGTGGTTTAGGGAGAGAAACTCAAAAGAATTATCTATTAACTGAGTTAAATGTAGGGGTCTGTTGTAGACACATGCATTTGAATGAGGTTGCCTTACATCTATTATTCAATTCCCTCTCAGTCAACTGACACAGATTTAAGCAATACCTATTAACAAAAATCTAGAAAAAAATTATAATACATTTTTCCTTTAATAGTTGATAAGCAATCAACTATTAAACTTTAATAGATTATAAAATATGTCTCATTTGGTGAATTTACTAACTTTTATCTACCTTTTTGATAACTGAATAACTTTTTATGGTTTCTTATCAGCATATTTTATTGTTGTACTTTTACTTTAAATCAGGACATATTATAGAGGAAAAAAGGAATATTATTGAAGTGTTGATGGAGGATTACATGTTATATCTTTTATTTTTACCATGTAGATACTGCGTTGCCACCACTGAAACCTCTGCATTCATTTTGTGCATTGAAGGCGGATGATGGCCCATGCAAAGCAATGATGAAGAGATTTTTCTTCAATATTTTCACTCAACAGTGTGAAGAATTTGTATATGGGGGATGTGAAGGAAATCAGAATCGATTTGACAGTCTGGAAGAGTGCAAAAAAATATGTGTGAGAGGTAGGTTTCTGAGTACCTTTATTACTCAAGAGCCTTAAGGATTATCAGGTCTAATCTTAGATTTGGTAAATTTAGGAAAAAAATAATTTGATACTTTTTTAACATTCCAAAGAATCTTTTATTTTCACATACTTAGCTTTCATGTTCAACTATTGTTTTTTTTTAAATTTTTTCAAATCAATTACTATAAAATATATTCAGCCTCATTTATTGTCCTGTACTCTTTTCCATAATAAAAAAAGAAAGTAAAACCCTCAAATGCACAGAACAGTGAAGTATCATTGTATGAAGTGAATGTAATTCAGCTTCCCTGAATTGCACTATGAGTTGACAGGAGAGTAAATGTTAGTCACATTGACTTAGTCTTTCCTTTATCCACACAATACTCTCATTATGATCCTCTCTCATGATCATGAACCTGAAAATTCACTTTGAGGCTTTGTATTTCCTAATTGGAAAATTCTAAACTGCATCAGCTAGTAGAACCATATAAATGAAATTTTAGGTTTTTTTCTGTTGGAACCTTGAAATACTGTAAAAAAGACAATATCATCCCTGCTAACCCATGTATACTTTCCTAAACTCAACTTTTCTTTTTATGTTATTTTACTAAGGTTAAAAGAACATCATATTATATTAAATTATTAAACTATATTCTGCTTAATCCTATTAACGTTTTGGCAAATTTTACGAATTACAATGTTATATGTGGTTTTATCTCTTCTCACTAAGAAAAATTAAAAGTAATTACTGGTCAAAATTTTGAATCTTTTTATCTCAGGTTATTCTTCTGAGTTGTGAACTACTTGAGGAATAAAATAGTATGAGTTGCCTTTATGTCCCTAGTTTTTAGCCCAATATTCCCCCATAGCATGGTTTTAGAGCTAGTTGGATTGAACTATGGAGAAGATATCTTTAGTTAGTAACACTGGATGTCTTGTATTATGCAAATCAGGCACCTCTGCATTCTCACTCTGATAATGCTTTCCAAAACAGTTTTACTAAACAGCCTTGGCATCTTGATGCTTTTGGCCTGGGGGAAAATCTCAGTGTGGTGGAAAAAGAGAACTTCTCTCCTCTATGATTCTATAAGATGCTTTGTTGTATGCTCTAGAGCTAACATAAGAGAATAGACATGAAGACATTTCTTTAGCCTCTGGGCACTTATTTCCCTCTTTCCTCTCTATGGATGTTCTACGAATGTTACTGACACAGTTTAGGCAGCTCAGTGGTCCTCAGTGGTGCCTTTGGTTTTTATAATGGCCTGGTCATTTTCCATTCATCACAGATTTCTATACCCCGTTTTTTCTCATACCTGTTAGCCACGTATCTTTTTGTGTTGAGTTGAAAATCACTCTTAGTCTTCAATATCATGGCCAGAGGCCTGATTTACCCATTCTTTGTAATCCTTGCTTTTTTCACTTGACGGGCTATTTATATTCATCAACTGGTCTCTTCCTGAAATACATACCTGTTTCTTTCTTTTTTTTTTTTTTAATAACTCACAAGTCTTTGAGTTTACCGTTGTGTAAAAGTTATCCTTTTCTTTAGAAGTTAATCAAATGTAATCATTTCATTCATCAGTGACAGCCTACTTATACTCTTTCATAACATCATTACTGACTAGCATATAAATGTAAGTCTCTTGCCCCTATCTCCTCATTATCTCTTCAAAAGCCACTTCATATTTTTGTATGAATGTCTGAGTGTTTTATACAGTAGATTACTCTTAAGGCTATAACTGGCACATAGGAAAAATGCTGCTAAACTTTTTAAAAATCACCTAAAGAGAGAATTCAATCTTCAGCCATCATAGATAACTAGAACTGGACTTTTTCTTCCAATATAAAGTACTAAAAACTGGACAAAATGAATAAAGCAGTTGATTGCAGACATGATTGAAAGGCATCACAGAATTCTGATCTCTGAGAGAAGACAGACATGTAAGATGAGCCCTCCGATATCCTCTGCTTTCTGTATGAAGTTATTCTGAACCACAGTTAAGGAAAGGGAATCAAGTACAGGATGATGGTCTCCCAGAAGAGAGTAGGTGAATATTGGAAATTAGGAAGCTGAGGTAGCTGGAGTTTTTGTAACAATGTGTGGGAGATGGTGGACTTGTACAGAAACACCTAAGAAATCTAGTTAGGGTCCCCTTTGAGTTTGGCTGTAGAAGGATCATCTGCCTGTTTTAAGAAAGATGATTCAGTGGCTTAAAAGGACATATAATCCAACTCATATTGTTTCTCTCCTTTCTTGCTCTACCTTTCTGTCTCTCTGAATGAACAACTAATTATCTGTTAGGTGTGGATTTAACCATCCCCTTCTCCTCCTCCTACCTGCCCAACACCCTGTGAATGTTATTCCCCATATGTGCACATTAGTGTCGGTCAATTAGTACCAATAATATGTCCCAGATGCCTTTTCTTCATTTCTTCTCTGAGTCTGGTAATAATAATGAAACTTGAAATTGGGTTGAGATAACAAGACAGAAGAAATCAGGAAAGGAGATGATGCTGGTTCATTCCATCCCTATTCTCAACTCACTATAAAAATTATCTACTTTTATTTGTAAAGCAAGCTGCCTGAATTATTTTCATATTTTATATATTTTTTATTTCAAAATATTATGGGGATACAAATGGTTTTGGTTACATGGATCACTTTTGGTTGTTTTTTTTTTTATTTGTTGGCATTATTTCTTTTTACTTGAGCATATTAAGTCCCAAAACGATAAATGTTGGCATGGATGCATAGAGATGACAACACTCATACACTGCTGGTGGGACTGAAAACTATTCCACAACCTCTGTGGAAAGTAATATGGAGATACCTCAAACAGCTACATGGAGGACTACCATTTGATCCAGTATCCCATTACTGGGCATCTACCCCCCCCTCCAAAAAAAAAGACATTCTATAAAAAAGACATCTGCACTAGAATATTTATAGCAGCACATGGATCACTTTTGTAATGCTTGAATCATGGCTATAAGTGTGCAGGTCACCGAATTAGTGTTCATTGTACCATTAGGTAGGTTTTCATGCATCCCCTCCCCCCAGTCTCCCTATTTGATTTCCACTGAGTTTTGCTTCCCTCTGTGCACATGTGTGCTCATTGGTTAGTTCCAAATTACTAGTGAGTACATGTGGTATTTGTTTTTCCATTCTTTAGACACTTCACTTAGGATAACTATCCCTAGTTCCATCCAAATTGTTGCAAAAGGCATTAATTCATCATTTTTATGGCTGCGTAGTACTCCACAGTATACATAGACCGCATTTTGTTAATCCACTCATGAATTGATGGTCACTTGAGTTGATTCTACATCTTTGCAATTGTGAATTATGCTGCAATAAACATTTGAGTTCAAGTGTTATATTTATAAAATGTCTTTTTTTTTCCTTTGGATAGATACCCAGTAATGGGATTGCTGGATTTTATAATAGGTCTACTTTTAGTTCTTCGGGGAATCTCCATATTCAATCTCCAATACAATCTCCATAGAGATTGTATTGATTTGCAGTCCCCTCAACAGTGTATAAGCGTTGCTTTCTCTCTGCATCCATTTCAGCATCTGTTGTTTTGGACTTTTTAATAAAAGCCATTCTTACAGTGCAAGTTGATATATTTTTGTAGTTTTAATTTGCATTTCCTTGATGGTTAGTGATGCTGAGAATTTTTTCATGTTTATCGGCCATTTGTCTTCTTTTGAAAAGCTTAATCATTTTAATTTTAGATATTCTGAACAGCAAATTTAGTCATGAATTCTCATTTTTGTAAATGTGTTAGAAACTTTTAACATAGTTTTGGAAACATTATTACATTAAAATGAAGTGGCTTCATGGTTACAATAAATAGAAAAAATTAATTTTTAGAGAAAAGAAATTTAATTTTTATTAAATTCTATATAAGAATAATTTAATGGTAATAAATACACCATCCTAGTTTGTTCAATTCAAATTCAGGTATTACTTTATAAATTGTAGCAATTAACATACATATATTGTTTTGATTGCAGATTATGGAAAGAAGTTTACAAAGACAACATTCAGAGAAGCTGAATATTCAGGTGTGTAAATTACTAGCATTTATATAAGGCATCTAGATATTCAATTCCTAGGTTTCTCTGATATGAGATTGATCATAAATTCATATGATCTTTGAAATGGTGTTTTTTTTCCTTGGGTGTAATGAAATATTAGAAAAATGTAGACATGATATTTGCTGGGGAAGGCTCTAAACATCCTATGTACTCTCATCCTAATGCACCATGACATTTAATTTTAGTCCACTTACAATCCAGAGCCACACATGCTATTTTAACATCTTCCAGATAGTAATTTACATCTTTCTAGTCTTACTTTAGTTCTCTGATCTCTAATCCTTTGTTAATCTCAGCATTCTGTGGCTTTTGCAAATTTTATTAAATATTTCCCTGAATGGACACATTTTGAATTGTCAATAGTTCTGTATGCAAAAGTAAATGGAGATATTTAAAAATAAATAATTGCCTTTGTCAACATTATTTAGCGTACATGAGCACATTTTTAATTTTGTGACTTAAATTATTTTATTTATTGTTTTTAATTAAAAATAATTACTTTTTGATGAATATATCAGCAAAAGCAATGTTATCAATAGATCAGGGAAATCACTCTCTTTTTAGTAATGACTTAGAAACTGCTTTGGTCCTATTATTTATGGCATTTACATTTGAATGAGAAAATATTAAACAAAGAGACTAAATTATTTAACTCAGGACATGAAGGAGCACAAAATGCAAGGTGCATTTTAATTTTACTTATTTTGATTTAGTTGTCTGGGAAAGAGTTGAAAATTTCTGTGATTCAATGATAATCTTTAAACTTTATTCACTAATCAGAATTTGAATCAAAATTAATAAAATAAATTCAATGGCAAAGTTTCTACAAATAACATAAGTGAATGTATGTATTTATTTATGGTTTTTAAAAAATACAGCATATTTATAAAGGGAATTTTGTCTATGAAGTAAAAGAAGATATTTTCATGAAAGGAAATACCAACATTTAAATATTAAGACCTTTTTCCAAAAGCATAGAATTAGAAAAAAATTATATACGGGTAAAAATTTGCTATAAAATGTACATTTGATAATTCAGAATTTAACCTTTTTTACTTTATATTATACACAAAAATTAAAGAATAAAACTCTATTTACATGCATGTTAAAAATGTTTAGATCCTAAAACTAATCCATAACAAAGATTCCTACCTATTCGAAGTTTGTAATATGCTTCCTCACATTAGAGTAATTATAAAGAGAGTGGAGATTTATTACAATCCCTTTGAAATAAAATTTGATCTAAGTCAATTCCCAAATATGTAGGCTTAAAGAAAAATCAATAGTAAAAATCCCATGGCTTATGAAAGTTGATATATTGCTCATGTCCTCATTCTCTCTTACTCAGTTTAAACTGAGCACCAATTTAGAGCTGGGGTTGTCTATACAAAGTCAACAAGAATATTATTTTGCTTGTCTAAAGAATATGGGAATTAATTTCTTGATTTATAACTATATTTTAAACGGTAGTCCTAAAAGGAATTATTTTACATGCATGTGTGAATTTTTGACTTTGACTTAAAATAGGTTTATGTACTCTAATGAGGTTTAATATGAATAATAGCAACTTCTAGTTGTACAGTTTTTAAATTATACTTAGCATAATTTATGCTTTTTATTCTTTATATGCAATACTTTTTACCTACCACATTGGTTAAACATAAAATTCTTATGCCCTCTGTTAAGATGATTTAAAATGTCATAAAATACATATACTAAGACAAAAGTAAATCAAAATGATCATAATTGAATGTGTTTTTTTCTTTATTACAATATTATAAAAATGTAGAGTTATTTTTTTCTTTTCTCATAAAATATACTTGAGTATTATAACCATAATAACATTCACTTTGAAAAATAAAAGGCAATATGAAAATCATAGTAACATTCACTCTGAAAAAAAAGATGATAAACAATAAATAAGGTCAACTTTGAAATTGGTGTTTTGAGAAGATGCAGAATACAGATGATTAAAACTATTATAATAGGAAATTTTATTTAATAAAATAAATTTTATAGGAGATTAGTTCTTTTCCAGGTCTACAACTTTGGTAGAAGTCATTAGCATTATTAATTACATGACCTTTAAATAGTAAAATAATTATGGGCATTACTTCCCTGAGATAGTTGCTTTAGGATGCAAAAGGAAACCACAGTTCCTTTTTGCCTCTATGACAATATAGCTGCAGGAAAATAAATTGAGAAATTGGAGATTTGTCCTAAAAAAAATTGAAGCCCAATATGCCTTGTGATCATAGTGATTTTGAAAATTACCTCAATTGTTTTCACAGAGTATGCATGTAAACAGAGCTGGTAATGTAGATCACATTGGCACAACTTTTATGACAGCTGTGTTTAGCCTGGTTTGGAGCGCTATCAAAGAAGGGGTATTAGACTTTTGCAAAAGCCTCTCCAATCCCTGAACATGTATTTCCTTTCTTCCTCTGCACTATTGGAGCCATTCCAATGCCTGGAGGAAAAAAAAAAAAAGAGGCACAGCAGTGGAGGATGTCCTATCTAGTACAGATATTAATTTCTACATAAGAATACAGGAACTTCTAAGGATAGTCATGTAAGCTTCTATACTTTTCAAATCTTCTTTTCCAACTTTTAAAAATTTAAACCGTTTTGATTCCATCCTCTACAGTGAAAAAAATAAAAAATAAAAAAAATAAAAAAAAAATTTAAACCGTTCTAATTTTCTCTTTGGAGGTAACAAAGAATATGTTTATACACATAAATAAAAATTATATTAGTCATGAGCTAGACCTTCCAGTATGACCTATGTTATATATAATTCATGGTATTGTCACTATTCTCCCCTCTCCCAGTCACTGGAATCATAAATTTCAAGTCTTAAGTCAGACCCTAGATTGAATACAGTTTCTTTCAAGATGCTTTTTCTTCATAGAAAATATTTAAGATACACATTTAAAAAAAATGATTTCAGGTTGGGAGCAGTGGCACATACCTGTGACCCTAACATTTTGGGAGGCTGAGACAGGAGGATCCCTTGAGACCATGAATTTAAGACTAGCCTGGGCAACATAGAGAGACTCCATCTCTACAAAATAATAATTTTAAAAATTAGCCAGTTGTGGTAGCATGCTTGTAGTCTCAGCTACTTGGGAGGCTAAAGCGGGAGGATAGTTTGAGCCCAGGAGTTGGAGGTTGCAGTGAGCTATGATCGAACCACCGCACCACTCCAATCTGGCTGACAGAGTGAGACCCTGTGTCAAAAATAAAATAAAAAATGAAATTAAATGAAATAAAATAAAAATGTTATACTGGAGAAGCTAAGTGTTTTAAAACTGAGATTAGGTAAGCGTGCTACTTGGAATATGGTGATCATATTTTCTTAACTGAAATCTAGGAGGACACATTGTCTTTACAAAGAAATTAATTGGGTTTTGTGAATTTATACACATTCTGAAAGTATTACCATGACATAAATTAAGTCACATTTGATTATCTATGTAAAAAAAAACAAACCCACTTGTTGAAAAGAATAAAGGACTATCCCAAAATATCTAGGACATATTCATGTTAATGCTTTTGTAGTAAAAGGATTAAGCCCATCTTTTTCAGACAGTCTTAAAACAGAAAAAGGAAAGAAAAATGTTAAAAACCACTATTTAGCAGTTATGCAGTTTTGGCAGAATTCAGATATCTCTCTTGTGCATACGCACTTTCTCTCTCTCTCTGTTGCATGCACAAACATACACACATCCATCTAGACCTAATTTATGTTTTTCACACTGCAGGTGCAAACCATTCCTAATGAAACAATACACTACACTGCTTTCCCTAATGATACTCCACACTTCAATAACATGAAATATTCACAGACCTTTTCTAAATGTTTTACATATAAACATAATAGAACTAATTAAACCCATTTTGCCATAATATTTTGTACATACAAGGCAAGGGTGGGACATGTTAAGATAACCTAATATCTTCCATTCTCTCAATTAATAAAATAGTTGATAGTTACTTCCTTATTAATTTACTATGATTTACATAGATATGTTTTTATATCTAGATGTAACAGTTTGTCTCCAAATAAATATTCCATCTTTTACTCACACATACCATTTTATATTTTTTTATTTTTAATTATTATGGGTATATAATAGGTGTATATATTTATAGAGAAACTTAGAAATTGAAACACCAGTCACAAAACATGTCTCAATAGCTGTTTCTTCCTTATTCTAAATACACAGTAGATATGACAGATAATTTTAATATTCTATAGTTGTGGATAACATTATATTTTTACCTCTTATCTTTAATTTTTATGTTTACTCCTTAAAGATCTTAGCCCATCATTTATAAATTTAATTAAAATGACTAAATTATCTAGCAAAAAAAGAATATTGCTTTTTGACATTTATATAATTTTTAGAAAAGCCAGATTTCTGCTTTTTGGAAGAAGATCCTGGAATCTGTCGAGGTTATATTACCAGGTATTTTTATAACAATCAGTCAAAACAGTGTGAACGTTTCAAGTATGGTGGATGCCTAGGCAATCAAAACAACTTTGAATCTCTGGAAGAATGCAAGAACACCTGTGAGGGTACATGTAAGTTCCTCATCTCATTTTAGTTTATTCATAAGCATCCTTTTAAAAATAAGGCATCTTAGAATATGTCCAAGTTTACTCAAATTTTGTGTTAGGCATGCAAATGAAGAGATATTTGTATTCATTGGATTTGAAAGAGATTTGTATGTTTTAAAAAAAAAAGCACTGTGGCTATAAACATTCAAGTGCAGATGTCTTTTTTATAGAATGTCTTTTGTTCTTTGGGGTAGAGGCCCAGTAATGGAATTGCTGGATCAGATGGTAGATCTACTTGTATCTCTTTGAGATATCTCCATATTGCTTTCCACAGAGGTTGCACTAGTTTGCAGTTCCACCAGCAACCCATCAATACATGAGTGGATTAATAAAATGTGATATATGTATACCATGGAGAACTATTCAGCTATAAGAAACAATGGTGATATAGCACCTTTGTATTATCCTGGATAGACCCGGAACTCATTCTACTAAGTGAAGTATCCCAAGAATGGAAAAATAAGGACCATATGTACTTACCATCAAATTGGTTTTAACTGATCAACACCTAAGTGCATATATAGGAATAACATTCATCGGTTGTCGGACAGATGGGCGGGAGTAGGAGGGGATGGGTATATACATATATAACAAGTGCAATGCACACCATCTGAGGGATGGACACGCTTGAAGCTCTGACTTTGGGGGAAGAGCGGGCAAGGGCAATATACATAACCTAAACATTTGTACCCCCATAATATACTGAAATAAAAAATTTTTTAAAGCATTAAGAATTAATAAATTTAACTCTAGTGGAAACTGTTTCCATAGCTCTTATATTATTTTTTATGTTACATTATTTAATTTTCACTCCTTAGAATACTGCAGTATAATTTCAGCACAACTGTAGAATTGCTGAAATCCCTTATGTTTATAAATAAAAATTTCAGGACAAATAGTAATTTGGAAGATATCACCTAAAATCAATCACTTTTATCTGCCCACAATATTTATTAAAGGAATGACTCAAACATTAACTGTTACATTTTTTTGACCAAGATCTATAAAGTTATTTATAGAAATTACTTTATAATATATATATTTAAAGATTCACTATTTAGTAATTTAACATAGCAATGTGAATAAAATTGCTAGAAGTCTACTTTTCTTAACTCTGTGCTTTGCTTCATGTATACAAGTATGAGATTGTGACAATGTTCTTGTATTTTAATTGGCTGTATTTTTTTCCAGTGAATGAATTCCAGGTGGATGATTTTAAAACCCAGCTTGATGCTTGGAATAATAATTCCTTGACTCCCCAACCAACCAAGGTTCCCAGAACTTTTGGTAAGAATCTTTTTGTTTTTATTGCTTCCAGAAAAACATTATCATGGTAACAATAGAAATGGATTGTGTATTAACAATATGCCTTTAAAAATTATATACCTGTTCTGTTATTTAATAATGGTGTATTGAAATACTGAGATTCAAAGTGCTTAAAACGTTCAATCCCATACAGGTGACAAATCTTAAAGCTATATTAAAGTATGCTTTGAAGTAGGCTTTTGATTATGTATCACATAAGAAATTTTCCTATGATATTTAACTCTGCCAAATTTATCCTGTAAGATAGTACTAGGAATTATCAGCCTCAGTATATGATGGCAAATTATTGTACTGGCAGCAGTGTGTCAAAGGGAGTCTAAAGTGCTTTTAATGTCAGTGGCACTGGGCACAGTCTCTGGTGTTAGTCACAGGGTGTATTAGAAGTTGGTTGAATAACCATACCCAAATGGTATGTCACTCTGGGGAAGAGAATTTTCTTTTGACCTTCTGTAGGTCTCTTTTCTGGGTGCTACCCTGTTAACATATCTATCAGATTTAAACAAACATATAGGAAATAGTCCCACAAAAATGCAGAGCTGAGAAAAAAGTGAAAATACTGGAAAACGTAACCAGAAACCACAAATATCTAGGCAGTTAGAAACGACCTAAACATATAAAGGTCCTAGCTGAATTGTAAAAATCACATGTTCTCATTAAGATATTGAAGATTTTGCTTAGAAGCAGTCTGTGTGAACGTGTCAAGTGTAAACTTGGCATGAGTCTAAGGAATTCTGTAGGTATTAAAATTGCAACCTTAGGATATATAAAAAAAAAATTGTGTTTGGTCCAGAAGTTCTCCATCCTGGCCATGTATCAGAATCAGATGGGATTCAGAATCAGAATGTCTTAGAATGGCCCCTCCTTATAAAACAACAACAACAACAAAAAACAAATTGCAAGCAAGCAATAAAAGCAAAAAACAACAACAAAAAACCAAAAACAACAGCCCCCCAAACCCACCTTCTGGCCAGATGGATTTAAAGCATGGCAAATGTCAATTATGATTTATCTAGAATGAGGCCTGTGAATGTCCAGCTTAGTCCCACACTGACCTAATCATCATTGGGACTTGGTTCAGCACTGAGTGCCACACCTTAGAAGTCACAGAGGGAATATGAAGCATGCTTACAGAGGCAAGGAGATCTAAGAGGGAACATACTATGTGCTCTCAGTACTTGAAACTCTATCACGGGAAAGGAGGATTAAGTTGCGTATGTGCCTCCATGAGTCCTACCTGTTCTAGACTCTCCCCATAACCCATCTTCACTGTTTTATCTCCTTAAACCCAGCCTAAGCATGAGGATTAATATGTGAGGGCTAAAGTAGAAATTTCTTTAAATGTTTATTTTTGATGTGAGAACTTCAAAAATGGATGCTGTCTCAGAGATTAGTAAATTCCCTAAATTGTTGGTATTCAAGCAATGTTCTAATAGGACTTAAGGTGTCATAAAGGGAATGCAAACTTTCAGTGGAAGTTGGATAATGTGGTATATTTAAATGCCTGTAGGTTCTTAGATTCTACAATTAGAGCAGTGAATTCAATGTCAGATGAATTTAAGCCTAATTTTTAAATACTGCCTTATGATAATAATTATCTTTGTGGTTTGATGTTTTACCTGTAAAATTAAGGGATTTCATTGCATTATTTCCTATGTCTCTCCAACTCTATGTCTTTCAATGGTATTTTGTTTTATCTAGTTAAATATCACATGTTCAAAACCACTTTAAACTATATTGCTGTGAAAGGTTTAGAATGCAAAAATTATTAGTAAGTTTAAAGATACATGTGATATAACATATCAACAAATAAATATGTGAGATCAGTTTTCAATATGCCCCAATATTTTTTGTTTGAATTATTTTATCCATTAAAGTGGAGATCGTCAGTCATTTATCATTAAAATGAGTAGTGTAGGTTAGGGAATAGTTTTGCCTTGAAGTTTTATAAAGTATAAAATTCATGATTTCTGTCAACCATACTACCATATCAAAAAGGAGGCAATGAAAATAAGTGTAAGAAAGTTATATTAATGAGTATTAAACATTTCATGAAATATATCCTCTCTATATTTTTATGTAGATGCACATTGAAAATTGTAATAAACAAATGAAATGTTATGAGTAAATTATTAACTGAAGAAGCAGTAAGAATTGACAACATGAATTTAAAAAATTAATATGGATCTTTATTTAAATAATATACTTTTAAGGGATAATGTTTTCATAGCAACTACACTTAAAATTAAGGCAATTGTCTCCTTTGTTTAGAAAACTATTTTATTTTTGATTGTATACATTTAATTCAAAATCTATATTTGTATAGCCAATTTGACTCCCTTTCCTCTTTTTCTAGGAGCATAATGAATTCTTTTGTTTTGCAAGCTTCCTAGTCTAAAACATAAAAATATGTTGCAATTACCATGGGAAGTTTGAGAGTAAGGGCGGCTTAACACGTAAAGGTTGTCAATGAAGCTACGCCTCCATTCTTCCTAAGACCTACATCATCCCTGGCCCAACTCATCCAAAATGGAGAAGGTGGGACTCAGCTGTCCCTCTTCTCTACTTAAAAATTAGACAATACCTGCTCCACTCCCTCCAAAGGGTTTGCTGAGATCTATAAAGACACCTCTTGATTTCTCAGCTCAAATATAGTTGTATCTGTCACTGCTCAGATTACATAAATACATTATTATAGTTTAAGGAAATACAGTTCTTCATTTATGGAAAACCTTGTTGTTCAAGGGTTTTATCAAATGTGAAAGGCACTCTGTGGGGATTAGGTTATTTTGAAAAGATGGAAATCCTTTAAAGTTTCAATTCAGTGTACAGGAATAATAATCTGCCCCATAATTTAAGTGGAATAGCATTCTTTTAAAATTATTCTCATTAAATAACAATCCTTAAATGTAATATTTGAATAGTGTACATAATCTTCAGAATTGAAAACCACCACAGTTGGTTCCTCTCAATTTCCCCCTTTGGGTTGGCAGTATGATATAGCAGATAAAAGACCCTTGAGCCCAAAGACAAGGGTTAAAATCCCAGCTCTTCCACTTAATAGCTGTGTGACCCTAAGATATTTCTTTATCTCTCAGAGATATCTCTCTGATATCTCTCATCTTCCCACTGTAAAATGAAAATGGTAGTCTGATAGTAGTAACCTGATAGGGTTTGTTGTGAGGTTAACTCAGTCAATATGCACAGCTTTCTTAGGACAGAACCTGATATTTAGCTGGTATATGCATTATTACTAATTATTATTATTCATGTAATTCAGAACAATACCATTAACTTTCCAGGCCTTAGTTTCTCATCTGTAAAATGAGTCTTTGTAAATTCCCATTTGTAGAAGAAATTTGTTATTCAGACACTTGTGAAATCTCTAATTATTCAGATAAATGCATCTGTAAGCATGTAGTCACAAAATCACAACTAACCTTTAAAGCAGAATTTAGGCTAAAGCTAAATTAATGCATATATGGAAACTCAAACAGTTCAAATGTGTTTATTAGAAACAAGTTGAGATTGTTGGCATGGAGAAGTATCATGTGATTTCAAAGCCAGAAAAAGCTTATTTGTATCATTTTTCTTTATCTTTTCAGCATTTCCAGCTTTCCATCCTTTCAGAGTTCTGCCACTGTTTTTCTGATTATTCCAGTTTGAACAGTTAATAATTTCTTCTGATTGCCTCTCTTCTTCCAGCCATTCATTAAATTCTATTGCTTTTTCCAATGAAATGTGCATTTATGTCTCTTCTATTTTCAGCTTACTTGTTGGATTCAGATTATCAGCCCTTTATGTTTAGATTATCTAAACAATCACATGTCATCCAAATGGAACACTAATGAAACTGCATGGCGATGTTAAAAAAATTAAGTTATATACCTATTTTAAATATCTATGCATTGATAAAACTTGAAATAGTCACTTTTTTAGCTTTATAAAAATAGTTTTATATTTAAAAATAGTTTTAAAATATATTTCAATATTTTTAATCACATATATTTTGAGACATGATATTTTAAAATAATAAGCATAAATGAATACTTGCTTAGGCAAACAGGTGATGTAGACATGAGTTAGAGAGATATAAATAGATATCACAGAGCTCAGTATAACTCGGATATACTGTACGTATATAATACACATAATATAATCAGATATCTGACATAAGTCAAGTATAATATATTTTATATAGAAAGAGAGGCAGACAGAGATAGAGAGACTGAGACAGAGAGATAGAATCAAATATCTATGAATTATATATGATCTTTTTGAGATCACTGTCCTAATCCTATGCATCTGTTATATTATAGGTAGGCTATCTTTAATCAAACAAGCTTAATCAAACAAATTTACATATCCCTTTTCTTTTACAGAAAAATTAAATACAAACAAAAAATACTTAATGAGTATATTTCTTCTCTGTGTTAATTTAGCCTCCTTCACTTGGCTTAAATTTGCATTATCTGTTAGCCCTCTATCTATTTCATATTTTCTTGCTGTCCCTTAAATATAAAATATTTCATCCATCCACATTGCTTTCTTCATTGTCACTTAACACAAATTATCCACTCTCATTCCATATGATGTCTTCTGTGATTTTTCCCACCTAAAATTCACTGGCCCATCTCACCTTCTCTCAACTGCCTTTTCACGACCATAATGAAACCTCTTCCTCCCTCTTTTCCTTGGCTTCTTATTTTTGATTCATTTAATACTCATATCATTTGTATTATATTTGGTCTGCCTCACTGTCCAGATTACAAGTGTTTTTTGTAGTTTTTTGTAGTTTTTTCATAGACTATCCCCAATCCCAGCATTAAGCCAAGTGTTAAGCGCATGACAGATGACTCATAGTTTTTATTTATTAATTTTATGATTCACAGTTACAAAAGAAGGAACAAATGATGGTTGGAAGAATGCTGATCATATTTACCAAGTCTTTCTGAACGCCTTCT